ATATTTATAAAAATATTTAAAATAAATTTAAAATTTAAAAATATCAAAACTCGGTCAACTTTCTTGAAGTAAACGTCTATCAGTGCACTCGGGGGAAAAAATAAAGTGAGTGGACGTGCCTTTCGCCCTTTGTAACCCCAATTACGGGTTTGGAGGTATACTGAAAAAGCTTTTCCAGTCAAATTGAAAACAAATATCTTGGACTTTTTGCTGTAGGAAGTCTTCCTGGGTATCCTATCCACCTCCACCCAAACCCCACGGCGACTACATTCAATTTTCTATCCAACGAGTCATTGGGTCATCAATGGACCAGTCTAGCTATCTAGTCATCGAATGGGTTATTGGGTCGACTCCTTCAACTGACCTATACAAATGTTGAAATTGTATGTTGATAACTAAAAGGAAAGCTAAAATATAAATACTGGAAATTATAATGAGAAAAGAATAAAGAGGCAATAAACCAATAGAAAAAATATGCCTTCATGGCTCCAATTATTTATTTATATGCTTTTTACCAAATCAAAGTCCAGATACGACTTCTTTTTCTTTCTTTGTGAGGGATTTGAAGTCACCGTGGTACCATAGCAAATCAAAAAGTTTTCATTATCAGAAAAATGGGATTTTGATACCCAAATTTCCACCATAAATTATTATTACTTGTAATATTTTTTTTTATCAATCTGTCTTAAACAAGCATAACTAATAAGTGTGTCGCAATCTCAAGACAGACAGTCACATATTCAAACAAGGTTAGGCCAGTCAGAGGAGGAGGATACTAGCAATATAAAATAGCAGTTGGGCAATCGAATACTCAATTACAAAGTGGGAGTGATAATCTTCTTTTATATCCATATCCAATCATTCCTTAGAATTTAGATAGAATACCTTTGCTTTCTACAAAATAAAAATAGGCAAAGAAAGTGCAAAAAACAAAGAGAGAAAGAAAGAAGAGATAACTGAGAGATCAAAATCAAATGGGTTGCGGTTTCTCCAGCGGATCATCGTCTAAAGTAAAGAACATAATCCGAGTGGTTCACCTCAATGGCTATGTAGAAGATTTTGAGTGTCCTGTTTCGGTCGGTCAAGTCACCGGCAAGCCACCAAAGCAATTCCTGTGCACTCCAGCTCAACTCATTTCCAACTGTTCCCTGGGTCTTCAACCTGACACCATCCTGGAAGCAGGCCGTATCTATTTTCTTTTACCTTACTCCACGCTACAGCCTGATGTTTCTCCTGCGGACTTGGCATCCATAGCCAGGAAGCTCGGTGCCAAAGCTAAGGCGACCAAGTGTAAGGCAAAGTCACCATCATCAAGTCAGTATAGTCATGGGGCAAGCCCACTTTCGAACTCGCGCGGTAGGAGTCCTAGCCGGTTAAGGGAGTCGGATTCAGGCATGACATCTCACAGGGCACAACGCTCCTCCCTCGTGCGGACATGGAGACCCGTCTTGGACACCATCCGAGAAAAGTCATTTAATCGGAGAAGTGAATCAGATTTGCAGGAAACTTAGTTCAAGGCAGTGGAATAGTTTTGAATCTCGGGTAGGAATAGTATGATCGCTATTGTAAAATTGTAAAATATTTAAGATCAAAAGAAAAAGAGTGATATTGTAGCTTAAAGCAGGTGGGAGGATTCTAATCTCATGTGTTGTTGTAAAGATGATAATTTGATGAGCTTTTGTGATTTCTTGTCATTTTCCAATTCTGCTTCCTGTGACTCTAGGCTGTCAATTAAATACAATTAAAATTCTAAGTTGGAAATTCCATCATTAATTAATGTTTTAAATAAAAAAGTTGTTTCATTCATCTTAAAATAACATTTAACAATCCTTCAAAAAAATGTTTGATTAATGTAAGAATCTGAGAGAACTTGAAAAAAATAAGTCCTGTGAAAAAGTCAAGTGAATGCATAAGAGTATTTATACCCTGTTTTCTAAACTATCTAAATTTGGGGGGAAATTCAATTTCAGTCAGTTACAGGCTTAACTAAAAAACTAACTGCTACACAGGAAAAGAAAAAATAACAAGTTAAAATAAATACACGTGTGCTTTCTTCTTTTTACTTTAAGAGGCTTATTCTTCCTCATTTAGCTTTGCCACTTAAATTGCAAACTTCACCTTCTTCCTTTGATCTTCATCTAAGTATCCTAGCCGATACTCTTCCTCAAGATGCATGCGTATATTATGAACATGCCTCTTGCAAAGTAGCTTATAGAACTGCTTTGGTTGTAAAGCCTTAGTAAGCAAGTCTACAACTTGTTCTTGCGTTGAAATATACACAAGTTCAATGACTTTAACAACCACCTTTTCTCTTATTAAATGACAATTCATCTCTATGTGCTTGGTACGCTCATGGAAGATTGGATTTTTACAAAGATGTATTGGTTATTGATTGTCAAAATAGAGTTTCACTATTGCGTCTTGAGTCACTCCAAAATCTGGTAAAAGATTCTTTAACGAAACCACTTCACAGCACGTTGAGGCCATTGACCTATTCTCTGTCTTAGTAGAATTGCGAGCAACCACAAATTGCTTCTTAAATTTCTAGCTAACCAAGGAATTACCAAGAAAAATACTGTAATCAATAACTGATTTTCATGTGTCTGGGCAACCTGCTTAGACACTATCACAATAGGCAGAAATCTTTAAGTCTAATGTTGAGCTCAGAAAAATTCCCTATCCCGGATAAGCTTTCAGATATCTTAGTACTTTGTGTGTTACAGTCAAGTGCTCATCAATAGGCTCGTGCATAAATTGGGATGACACTTGAGCAACATAGGAAATATCTAGTCCTGTAAAAGTCAAGCATAATAGCTTTTCTATCAATTGCCTATAGCTAGTAAGATCAACTCTTTTATCTGTATCAATTGTCTTCTTCAATTTATGATTTTCATCTATTGATGTTTTAATGGCTTACTACCAAGCAAACAAAAGTCTTCCAAAGATCCAAGATGTATTTTCTTTGACATAATGAAATGCCTTCATGTGATCTTGCAACCTCAAGCACCAAAAATTTTTTCACAGCTCCAATATCCTTGAGTTTATATTGTGAACTCAAGTAAGCCTTAACATCATTTGTTGCTCGATCAAAGGTACTGCTTATTAGTATATCATCAACATAAACAAACAAAGCCACAAAATCACCTCTGATAGTATGTAAAGTAAGCAAGAAATAATCTAATAAGGACTGTTTGAAGCCATATTGCAGAAGAGAAATAGTAAACTTTGAGATCCATTACCTTGAAGCTTGCTTGAGACCATACAATGACTTATGTGGCTTACATACCAACTGAGTACCCCTTAACAGAAAGTCTTTTGAACAGCAATATTTTCCATTATCAACCTTAAATCTTCATAAACAAACAATCAACTAATTCAAGATTTGATAAAATTCAACAAGAATACAATGCCAAACAAGAAATCAGATCTGTTCAAGCAACAAACACTATATAGCTGAGAATCTTCACATTAAATTGAGAAAAAAAAGTAGAATCATGCAAAAAAGTTAAGAAAAAAAATCATACTAGGAACCCCAGTTTGCTGTTCTAATACCATGTAAGATCTAAGAAAACTTGAGAAATATGATTCTAGTGAACAAGATTTCAAACGTCTCATAAAAGTGAAGTGAATACATCAGAGTATTCATACTTTGTTTTCTAAACTAACTAAACTTGGATGAAAATTTAGTTTCAGGTTAGTTACAAGTTTAACTCAAAAACTAACTGTTACTTAGTAAAAGTAAAAAGTAACAAGTTAAAATAAATACACGTGTGCTTTCCTCTATTTACATTGTCGATCTTGTTGGAGTTCTAGAGAAGGATGAATAATAATAAAAATTTCAAATTTATCCTTTTTTAAGTTGTAAAACGTTTAACCAATTAGAGAGAGATAGATGTAAAGCTTGTAGTAGCTAAAAAACACCAAGTAAGGAAAGAGTAGAGAGAAGTGAACAATGCAAGAGTGTTTATGGTGGCTCGATCCCCTTAACCTACATCCAATAGCTTGATCTCCCAATCAAGAATTTTCAACCCAACTTCACAATACTAATGGAATTAACAGCTTCCACCAAACTTTTACAGGGCGAGCTTCTAACCCAACCTCTAATCCTTTACAACAAGCTTTAGAGTGTTTCTCACGCTCTAATTTTCTAAGAAAGATAAGAAAAAGAGGTACAACTAGAAGTCTTTACAAATTTGGAAAGATTACAAGCAAGCTCAAACACTTTTTCTGGATTAAGAATGAAAAACAAGTTTTTTTTGTGAAGAATGTTTGGCTTTTTTCTCAAAATGACTCTTTTCTCATTCATCCCTATTCTTTGACCATTGAAGCTTTCTTTTATACTTAGGGAGTCAGATTTTTCTATTGAGGGTAGTTTCTAGCCGTTTAAGACAACTCTAATACCATTCTAATTGTTATTTTGTCCTTTAGTGCTTAAATTCAAATGGGTAGATATAGTTCGACTAACTGGCTATAGATAGCTCTAATTGATTAGAGCTTCTCTACCTTGCATTGTCTTATTATTGTGTACTCTGCATTAACAGATTACAAGAGACTCTAACCGATTAAGAGATATTTGTCTTCAAGCTGCTCTACTTCAGCAAACTTCTTTTAACTAGTTAACTCTCCCTTTAATTAATTGAAACTTCATTTTCTTTAGCCTTAACCAATTAACATAAGCTCTAATCAATTACAAATTCTTTGAATTTGCCCTTCTTCATTTTGGCTCCATTCAATGGTCCACTTCACTTTGAATTTGAATTTTGACACTTGGAGATTCTTTAAGTCTTGTGCCCTGACTGATTAACCCCATGCCTTAATCAATTAGCATACTTCTGTTTTCCTTTGTCCATCACCTTTTTAATTATTTAAGCCTAGTACTAATTGATTAACATTTTCCTATTTTGCTTCAACTTGTAGTCCGGCCATTCCTTAACTGATTAATGCCTTTTGATAATCAATTATAAAAGCCTTGCCTTCATCAACTTTTTTCATTTTTCTCTTTTTAACTGATTAGCTTATCTATTATATGCTCTTGTTTTTAATCATTCATTTGATTGAGGGAATTAACTTTATTCTGCACACTTAAATAGTGTGGTTAAACATTAATAATTGAGGAATGTTTTGTTATAATAAAAAACTTATGGAGTCAACATTCTCTCTCTTTTTTGATAATGACAAAACACTCTTAGATTAAAAGTGCAATGCCTATAACAAAGAATTTATGTGCAGATTTGGGGATTGATCCCCCTAAATATGTACCTTAATAAAATTATCCAATATAAAGTTATGAAAATAAAGGCATTCAACCATAAGAACAAGTATATATATAAATAACCAACATAATTCCATCATAAAAACATAAGTTTCAACCATTGTTCATAACACAGCATGAAAGATTGTTCAATCATAACACACACACAAAAATATCTTACAGACTGAGTTTGTCTTTCCCTTCCAGCTTATGTTTTACTCCTACTTGCCTACTTTTCTCCCTTTTTTGTGATCATGCAAAAAAAGGACCTAAAGCTGAAACTCATATAATTAAATTCAAAAGCAAATTTATTTAAAGAGGATTCATTAGTTCCTAAGTGAACATTAAGAAGTTTAATGTGAATAGAATGAAGGGATTCAGGTTCAAAAGACGAGAAAGATCCAAAGAAGATAACTTGAGGTGATATAGATTTGAGAATTAGTTTAGTAGTGGACTCAACTATTCTAGTAGATTTTGTTCTTTTGAAAATTTTGGTTTTAGTGGCCATTGTTATTCTACCACTTCCTATAGTTTTCTTTGCAATAGAAGCAGTATCAACTACTTTACCCTTCCTAATTTGTTTCCCCTACAACTTGTTCTTTCCCTTATTGAGCTGACTAATCTTCCTATTCTATCTCGACTTTTTGTTTTACCTGGTCAACTTTAGCTTCCATAAGAATGTCTCTAATAAAGTTAGAAATTGGGATGTCTTTAGATTCTTCAGAAGGATTTTCATCACCTTTTCCGTTAGCTGAGTGCTTTTCTTCACCTTGAGTTTCCTTCTCCATTTCTCTTTCTTGTTCAATTTCCTTCTCAATTTCTTCATCTTCCTTTTCTTTTCTAATTTCTTGGCCTTGTTCTGTTTCAAGAAGATTGTAACATCTTGCTCTTTTTCATTGTTTGTTTGCTCTTTCCTAATTTTTTCTTCATGTTCAGATGTGTATGGATCAAACTACTCAGTGGTAGTTCTTTCATTTGACATACTTGCAGCAGTGGCTGGAGATTTAGAGGTAAGGGATTTGGCTACCTTAGCTTGATGTAGAAGGACTTCAACATGCTGAAGTTTCTCTTCAATCTTTGTTATCTTCACAGCTTGTTGAGTTAATTTCTCATCAATCCTCATAAAGAGATTAAAAATCATTTCACCTTGAAAAGAAGGTTGGTTGACTCTGGTGAAAGGTGTGGAAGGACTTCCAATAGTGGGGGGCAGTGGTGTACTTTTTGTGGTTTTGATGCATTCATTTCTCTTTAGTTTGCAACCCATTTTCAACACACTTCCTAAGAAGATTCCCTGATCTTTATTTTTAGTCAAGTCTGTGTGGAATCTTATACTCAGATCTTTTTCTTTTTCACCAGAGTTGAAATAATGTTGCCATATGGCAAGTTGGCTTTATCTCTCAATAAGGTTGCCACGATTCTTTCAACCATGTATCT